GTAATCCTGCTGCTCAAAACATGGGTTTTGTTCAAACCAATAATCATAATGAAATTGCCAAGATTGTCCAGAAGTTATTGCATCCACAGCTTCCTCACCATCCTACTTGGAATCCTCCTTCAAGGGAATATATGAATAAAGCTTTAACTTGCCAAATGTGCAAAGTCACCATCAATGACGTGGAAGCTGTGCTTATTTGTGATGCTTGCGAGAAAGGATTTCATTTGAAATGTCTGCAGGCAGCTAATCTAAAGGGAATTCCTAAATTAGAATGGCATTGCACAAGATGTCTGCATTTATGCAACGGAAAGCTTCCCCCTCCTAAATATGGACGCGTAATGAGAAGTATGATTGCACCAAAAGTGCCTTCTAACACAGGTGTAATGCAGTTATCTTCAGAAAAGAAAATATCATCCCTAGATTCACAGGATAATCAGCACAAAATAAAAACAAATGGAAACCCTGGTTTACAAAGTCCTGCTGGCCCCGGTACTATGAGCAGCAACTTTTCTGAGCCAATCTCTGATCCTAGGGCCCTGAATTCAAGAGAAATGCAAGGAAGTAACTTATCGTCAAGTAAATCAGGTTTCGATCAGAATACGATTTCTGCAACCTGCCCAAGTACCTCGACAAAATCATTAGAAGCTTCTGGTCCTACTTTTCCATCCAATGGAAATTTGAATCCACCCAGCCAAATTGCCGAATCATACAGCCATGAAGAGAAATCAATTTCTGAATCAGAAAATGCAAAATCACAACCTCCTGCAATGTCTGTCGGTACACATGATCATAGTCAACCCTCACAAAACACACAGTACCAATCTGGAATTGCTTTGGGGAAGGAAATTATTATTCCAGACTCAGAGCATACTAATGTAAGACAAGATGATGATAACATTTCAAGAATGAATGAAAGACAGCAAGGTGTGGCACAAGAAAATCCCACTGGAAGTTCTGGACCTTGGACTGATGATGGAAAACATGATAAGGTTACCTCTGAAGGTTCCCATGGTGTTGAGTGGATAGGTGATGTTCGTCAAGTTGTGGATGGGAGAAAATCTTATCAATCTTGTCGCATTAATGGAATAATATATAAAGTGCAGGATCATGCTCTCTTGCGCTCTAGCCAAGACAAATTGATACCTATGAAGCTTCAGGCAAGCTATTCATCTAGCATTTATACATGTTTCTGGCACTGACATAGTTGTCTATCTCGCATAGTCTTTTACTCTCATTTTCTCTGTGTTTATTTGCTTGTGGAGGTCACTTACTTCAGGTTATCTTCTATTTAAGTATTTTTACCCCTTTGTTTTTTAATAGGAAGTTTAATCTTTTAAGCAGGCTATGTGGGAGGACATGAAAACTGGATCAAAGTGGGTGGTTGTTAATAGGTGCTACTTTCCTGCTGATCTACCGGAGGCTGTTCGCTCCCAGTCTGACGTTGAGAACAATGAAGTGAATTCTCTTTCACTTTTACCACATAATTCTTTATTATTGTAGGATTTCAAGTATCAACATTTATAGTCCTTTGGTTATATAATAATTCATTGCTTCAGTAGACCTATTAGAATTTCTAGTGATGTTAACAGCAATCATACATATATACAAATGTATGGAGGCTGGTTGTCTTGTCCTATTTGCATAGTGTCCGAGGAAGAGCTCCCCTTCCTTGACTTGGCTTCATAGCATGTAACATGCTTGCACGTGCATGTAGGAGAACCAGCCAATATGTAATATAGAAGAGTAATAATGCTCCTCATCGCTGCTTTATTGCAGGTTTATGATTCAAATAGCAATAGCACTATAATGGCTAGCTTGATTCAAGGTCCATGTGAAGTTCTTCCTGCTACAAAGTTTAAAGACAAGAATGAACGGCGGATGCAGTTAGGAACTGAGGCAAACAGAGGATTACCACCGGTTTTCCACTGCAAGTAGGGATTTATGAACCTTATGTTGCTTTTCTCTTAGTAAAATATTTGATTTCTCTTCTTTCTAGGTTTCTGTCTAAATGTGAATGATTCAATCTTTATTAATATAATTATATAACAATATTTATTATTCTAAAAGTAAACGTAAACGTTGCTGCCATAGTAACATGATAATGAAGGAAAGAAAGAAGCCACATAAGATAGAAAAATAGATTGTTGAATAGGATATTTTATTATTTAATTATTTTAATTCATTATTTTATTAATTAAGATGATATAATTAGAATTTTATAAGAATATTAATCTCATATAAATAAAATTTTATTAAAATAAGATTTTTCTTATTAGTAGGTTAGAAATTTTATAAATATTTTAATTGTAACAATTTAAAAAATGATAAATAAATTATTATTTTTTTTCAAAAAATCTACATGATATCAGAGTCAAATAAAATTATTTTAGAATTTTAATTTTAGGGTTTCTTTTAAACTTTAAAATAACATAATAGGCTGAGTTGGGGTGTCATCATCACCTCAGATGGTATTGTAAACTCACCGACAGCTTGAAGTTAATCAAAGAAGTTGCGGCTGTCCATGTCTGTGCGAGGTGAGGCATCCGAGTTCTAGATTGCAACATGAAGTGGTCTGTTTGTGCGGGGGCGACCAGCGGCGGTCCAGATCTGAACAGACGTCGGAGAAGACGAATCGCCGTGCATATGCAATCTGCAAACGGCCTGTGCGTGGTGGCGTTCCAGATCTATTCAGATCTACATGAAGAGAAGGCTAGAAAGAGAGAGATCGCAGCGCATCTGTCCAGATCAAGCCTAGCCATCCGCTTGAGCCGAGTGAACCGAGCTGAGGTGAGTCTAGCCTTAGCCGAGCTGAGCTGCTGCCTGAGTCAAGCTGAGCCGAGTTGAGTTTGATATGAGCCGTGCCGAGCTGCTGCCTTGAATAGAGCTGAGGCATCCATGCCTGAGCCGAGTTGAGCCGAGCTCGTGCCTGAGCTGAGCTGAGCCAGCCGCTAGTTTGCCAGGCAGATTTGCTTTCTCTGCGTGTGAGCTGCTCTGACCAACTTTTTTCTAGTCCTTTCTTCGGCGCGCGGCTGCCTCTGATTTCGCAACCAAACCTTCTTCATGCACGAGCCACTCTGGCCAACCTTTTCTGGTCTTTTTTCCTGCTCCTTTGCACGCATCCGCCTTTGGTTTCGTGATACTGGTGCAGATCTACTTTCTTTGCGTGCAAACCGCTTCGACTAGTCTTTTTTGGTCCTTTTTCCAACTCCTCTGCGTGCGTATGCCTTTAGTAGACGGCATAATGACTTGTCAGAATTTGATCTACAAGTTGAACATGTGTGATATTATTGCACCAACTTGAGAAAGGATGTTGAGTAGGATATTTTATCATTTAATTATTTTAGTTTATTATTTAATTAGTTAAGATAATATAATTAGAATTTTATGAGAATAATAATCTCATATAAATAGAATTATAATAGAATAAAAATTTATTTATTAATAGATTAGAAATTTTATAAATATTTTAAGTGTAGCAATTTAAAAAATGAAAAATAATTGTTTTTTTTTTTTCAAAAATCTCCACAGATGATAGTATGTTTTCTCATAATATTTCGTGGCAATGAAGGAAAGAAAGAAGAGCTGCATAATGGACAGAAACTTCTCCATTATTTTGCTGTTTCTATCCATTATGTTGCTCTCCTTCTCTTTCCTTCATTACCATCCATATTACCATACCATCATGGTCTATTTTTCTATTTTGTCGCTCCTCCATTTTTGTTTCTCTCAAAAAATGGAAGTAGAACTCAAGTTTTCTTCATTAAAGAATCTAAAGTGACTCTCTCTCTCTCTCTCTCTCCTTTTTCTGGGGAGAGTGTTTCTTCATTCTGTCTCTAGGCTAGTTCTCTAGTCTGTTTGATACCTTTCCTCATGATTGTCTCCAGCCCTAGGAGATTTTTGGTCATTGAGCAAAAATCTTTTGACATTGTGCTTGAGGGGTCAACTTTGTGAATATCAATGAAAATGGTTGGAGCACTTGATCAATTGGTTGTTTTTGTGGGAGATGAGGTGGAGTGGCTCTAAAGGGTCTTTGGTGAATCTTAGTAGGAGAAGGGATCAAGGTGATGGGTGAGAAATATGGTGGTAAGAATCACACAAGTTCTTGGCTTCAACAAACCAGGTTGGAGATGTGTTGTGGAGAAATTACATTCCAGAAGGCTTTGAAGCCAATGGTTGGTGGAAGATGATGTTTGGGGTTTGTGATCTTTTGGGTAAGCTTTTCATATGCCCTTGGAAACTGAAGATAGTTTCTATTCGGCTTGCTGCCATCAGGGAGCCAGCACTACATGTCGATTTGGCTAGATATGTAATGTGCTAATTTTTGCTTAGTGTTTCTCTATCAGTCATGATAAAGATCTCTTGGTCGTCAATCTTTTGCATAACTCACTTGGGAGAAGAGCAAGGGGAAGGGATCCAGTTGATCCTAGGTTAGGTTGAACTTAAATTTCAAATTTTCCTATTTCAGAAACTTCCAATCTTTTGCAGGATTTTCTAAAGCAGCTTTAGCATATAGGATCAATTATATCCCAAGGTCTTTTGTTTCGGAGTTGGGACTTTTGTCTTGACAGGTCCAGGTCTAGGTGGAGATGAGATAATCTTATTTGCTATGATGGACAAGAACGATGGAGTAACAACATTTTTGTGGGTGGGTGTTCCAAAAGGGGTACGTTGTGTGAACAAAAGGGGAACATGCAATCGAAATGATTGGAAAATGGTGGCTATTGAGACTGGGCTGGTTAGAGAATTAGTAGGCTTTTAGATCTGAGTTTTGAAGGGTTTGAAAGCCTTTTGTATCATCTTGAGCCATGAAGAGTAATAGTGGTCAAAATGGGAGTATTAAGACATCCAACTTGCGTAGGAAGAAGAAATAGGTAGGGGATAGGGCTAAAGAAACTAAGGAGACTCTCGTAGTTCTCTAGTTATGAAGCACGGGAAAGCAATGGGTTGGGTTTCAAGAGTGGGTCAGATATTGAATCACTAAAAAGTACCTTTAAGATTTATTGTCTTGGGCCTTGATTACCTTGGGAGTTATTTGGCAGGAAAAGAATAAGAGAATTTTTGAGGATATAAAATCTTCTTTTAATAAGATTAAAGACATCTAGTTTTAGGCCCTATGTTTTCTTATTTTTTGTTTTTTTTTTTTAAATGGCCTCCCACTTTAGTTATGCTGAGGATTTAGGGACCTTATTAACATTTAGATAGATTCGTAAAGCTGTTTTGTAATTAGGTTGAACCCTTTGGTACCATGTTAATATATCTCTTTTTTTTTTCTTAATAAAATAGAGGCTTTCTAATTTGTCCTTCCAGTTTATTTAACCATGTAAGATATCCCTATATTATGAAGACTTAGCACTTTCTTCTGAGCGGAAATGATATCATGCATGCTTCTTTGTCACGCATCATTTACGGCACATCCCTGAAAGTGTTCCTTCTTATGTTCTCAAGCTTGGATCTTAAAACATTTAGGTTGTAATTTTTCAATGGTCCAAAAAACTTGATAACTCTATTGGAAATTCTCTTGATTGATGGGAACATGGTTGGTTGAATACTTGCTTCTCTTAAAACCTTGGTTTTGGTTCACATGCTGTCAAATGTTCTCTCTATTCTATGCTTGATGACAAAGAGATTTCATCCACTTACAACGGGCATTACAATCACAAGAAAGTTGAATCTTAATCACCTATATAATTATGTTTGTTTCTGCATTTCTTTCTTCTCCCTCTTTTGCCAGAAAAGGGAAAAAAAATTTGTTTCAATGCATGTAATTGTCCCCTAGTTCTTTGATATAGAATATCTATAACAAGGACATTAAGCTTATGCTTATGGCAAATTTCCTTTGGTAATTGATGATGACACTTGACATGATATATTCTTTTTACTTTCTTTACTTGGCACTTCACTATGCTGTTTGGCTGAGTTAGCCTAATTCCATCTATGACTAATTTGCCTAAATGTATTACTCTTCTTAAAAATCATTGTCTTCACATAGTATAGAAGGTAACTGGTTTCATTTGAGAAGATAATAAATTGTAGTGCCTAGGCTTTTCTTCATTGCCTCAAACTTTTGCTTTCAGGGGGTTCTATGACGAATTCAGAGGGACTCTCACCATATTCTGAGTTGACCTGGCTATACACCTAGTTTAGTTAATGAGAACATCTTTGGTTACAGCAAGTGTACGAGGCATCCTTTGGGTCAGGTAACCAACCAGAACTGTTGCTTAACATATTAGTTTATGTTGTAAATTTGGGCTACATTCAATATGTACTAATTTGTACTGCATTTTCTAGTGTGCTCGTTTTACTTATACTCTCAGGTGTTTGTGTGTGTGTTTGTGATTTGTATATTTACTAGCAGTTGTGTTGCAACAGGTGATATGTGGTGAACTGAGCTTCTACAGACAAACAATGATTAAAGAGAAACCGGTTGGTGTTCTACATGTAGTTTTAGTAGTACTAATCTGTACCATATTCTTTATAGCAATGTAGATTCGTGTCCTTGATGTCCATTTGTTCTTCCAAACTTGCTATTAGATTATCATGGATCATAAGATGGTATTTTTTTCTTTGAAATCTCTGGTATTTGCATGTCTTGAAACATGTCACTGATCCAAAAACAATTATCTATAAATTTTTTATGCAATTTATCACCCTACACCCTAGTTTGTGCTAGAGGTCGCACCTGACTTTCTTTCGGCTCTAAGACTCTTGAGGGGGAAGCATTTCAGGCCTGCCCATTTCTTATTAGATGCTAGTTATTTCTTAGAGACAACCAATAACACAAGGGTAGTTGTTTGTTTTTTGGAAAATCTTTTTTGTTATTCGGGGGAAGTTTTTGGTACCTGCAATCTGGGAAGATACCAAGTCTGTTTGGAAACAAATCTAGATTTTCTCTTTTTTTTTTTTTTTTGAAGCATATTTACAAGTTCATATTTACTTCAATTAGAATATTGAAAATTCCCCTTACAGTTGAAACAATGAATTTTAAATTAGATAAGAATTTTTACATTAGTTTCAAACATAGCCTAAGAGAAATGGCCACAGTAAATAGATAGAAACGACAATAACTTAATGCACTTCAATTCATCATAGTTGGATTGGTATTCATTGTTATTTGAAGACTGATTTTGTAGTATTAACTCTGCCAACATATAATATTCCTACGAGGATAAATTCTGGGATATTTACATGAATCATGTTTAATGTAGTAATTGTCTGACAATTATTTTGGGTCAATTTATAAGATGGTTTCGACTCAAAATATAATAAATTGTTAAGTGTTTATTTTGCACATTTTACCTTTATAAGCAACTGGTTTATAAGCAGCTTGAAAAAAGTCCAAACGAGTTGAAATTCCAATTGTATCTTTCATCAATTAGTTTGACCTTCATTTGTTTCAGGTTTGGGGATAATGATGATTCTTTGACATTAGGATTTTCTCTCTTGAAGCTTTTAAAGGGATAGATAGCCTAATGCATCTGCCAGCTTAATTAGTTTGAAACCCACCCGTTCTCACTTCTTGATTCTTCATGGTCAATTATCTCTCTCTCTAACTCTATTTATATATATATATATATATATATATATATATATATATATATAGTTGTCAGTTGTTAGGATATACCAAATAAACTAACTTTTGCTGAAATCTGGGATACACTGTTCTTCTCATGTTAAAAAATTAAAAAGCCAAAAACCCTAACTTCCATGAAAACAGTTCCCAATGACCTTAAAACTCAGCTGCATGATTTTTTTAGATTATATGTATCTGCATCCTAAATTGTTAATGGCCGAACCATTAATGCTTCCAACTGATTTGGATGCCTTGTAGTTGAAGGCATTTTTGGGTTGACGATACAAGTTTACAGAAGTTTGTATTATTGGCACTGACTTACAGAAAAAAAAAAACCATGTCTAGAGTTGGACACCTTTACCTTGGGGACCTCCCCAACCTATTTAGAGAAATTATGCCGCATTAAAAAATATATATATATATATATAAATTTAATTAATTATTTAAATTATTAAACTAGTAATAATAAAGAATAGATTTCATATTATTATTAATTTATATTATAAAAGTTATTTTTAAAAAATAAAAAATAAAAAATAAAAAACATTTAAACTAATTTATTTTTTGTTAGGAAATGAAAAGAAATTAAGTGTGTGAAATAATTTAGCCTATTTTTGAATTATAGATTTCCTCTTTATATGTTTGTCCTTATTTAACCAAGCCTACTGGTTGATACTGCCTGATAAATCCAGAACCAAAGGCATTAGCAGCATGGTTTGACTCCGTTGCCTTTTGTTAATTGCGTAGCACCACCACGCCTTTGGATAAAGATCTGGCAAATCCAAGTTGTGATGGTCAATACACTGAATTTTAGGGATTTGGCGTGCCTTATAAAAGCTTTGTTATTGTTTGCTATTCAATAATTACTCCATTTTCAACTATATGGCTAGTTTTTGAATGTACTACTTATATAAAAATAAGGGTAAATTATTATTAAATTAAATAGTTGGATTATATTTAAAACCTTTTTTAAAAAAAATAATTCAAAAAAAATGACTTTAAATAATTAATTAAATTAATAAAAAATTATTAATTTATTAATTCCATTAATTAAGGAAACCTAAATATTCAAATACGATATAATTATTTTACCATTTTCATTAAAAAAATGTTTAAATTTTGGAGGTTAAAAAACTAATGGTTTTGTGTTAAAATCACACAGCACATACAAAATATAATTAAGAAACCACACTTATATTATTATTATTATTATTATTTAGACTTATGATATATCTATTATCTTAAATTAATATCTTTATAATCAGTCATAAACTCTTCTTATTATACACATGAAATCTCAATATAACCATTCCAAATTTAAATTAATAAATAAAAAATCTTCAATAATATTGTCTTTTTAACCTTTAATCCCGTAATTAATAATAATAATAATAATAAAATCTAATGACCGGCGCTGGGTCCCTTGAAATAAAGCATGATTTTTCATTAGGGTTCTTGGTCAACCAATTCAAATCTATGTAGGCCATAATAACTTGCTACAACTACAAAACAAGAAAGGAACTTCATTTTTTTCTTTTGACCAACAATTCTCTCTTCAACCATAACAAACCATTTAAACCTTGATTATCCTTCTTTACGACTATAATTGTACACACACACATATATATATATATATATATAATATCTATATAGGTTAGTTGAGGGGAGTTATAACTTAGAGATACTTGTATAGCTTTATATGTACACACACACACAGGAGGAGGAGGAGGAAGAAGAAGAAGAAGAAGAAGAAGAAGAAGGAAACTTGGTTTCACGTGAACCGGCGGTTATCACGGTAATATAGACTTTAAGCCGTAAAGAAAGTCACAAGAATGGAAAAACAGATTCCAGGTCTTTAGATTCTTGTTAATTACCCTCATTAATTAATTAATTTGTAACCACATATGCAAAAAAAAAAAAAAAAAAAAAAAACTTTAACGATCAGTTTAAAATATTACACGTGTAAATATACATATATATATATATATATATATATATATACACACACCCTGAAATTACGTGTAGGTATATACAGATTTATGCATGAATGTCCGAGCACCACCAACACAGACTAGTAGTCTAGTTAGCAGTTAAAATCGATTTAGGTGCCAAATGAAACCTTGATTTCAGGAGATATTGTTCTAATAAATCTCACAGGATTGGACTAATTATGATTAATTAGGGTTAATTAAGAAATTATTTCATGAAAATTATTATATGCTATAATCCAGTATTCAATCTATTTCCCTTTTAAATTAGTTGACTGTGTATTAAAAAGAAATCAAATCCTTAATTTTTTAAAGAATTAAAATAAAACCCATACACACACACACACACACATATATATATATATATATATAATAGAGAGACTTGAATTATGTGTGTGTGTATATATATACACACATCGATCTCTTTGATCTCCCATTATCTCAAAAAGTCTACAGACACTTAACTTTAATCAAACATTTAAATAATTAAAAGGGAAAGTTGCATGGCATCATGCTAATTAATCTTTAGTTTTAACTGTAGTTAACAGAACCTATATCGTAATAATTCCAAATATTCCATTCAACATAAAGTACTTAATTAACACACCCCATATATAATTAATATATATATTATGTATACGCACATATATACTTATCTTTATATATATAAATATATATATATGATTGTCATCTTTTGATTACCAGTTTGTAGATGGCTTATATATATATATATATATATATATATATATATATATATGATCCATGTGGTTGTAGTACTAGATTATGTCTCAATAATTTTCATTACTTATTTTATACAGCATTAAGAAATATAGATGCTGCATAAAGTGACCAAATATATATATATATATATGCTTGTATTTACATTAATCCATCCATCAATATTATTACACATCTAGCTAATCTCATGCACGTTTAATAGATATGATATCCATATAGATGGCAAATAGATAAATCCATATATATAGATAATAAATATGCATACACAAAGTAAATGAAGTATATGCATGTACCTATGATATAAATACATATATATATATATAGATACATATGTGGGGTTTTGTCTTCATATGATCATGTGATGAAAATCTTGTTGTTATTGTTAGCAACAGTAGAATTCAGTTGAATTCCGGCAACATCATTATAGGTAAATATAGAGTATATATATCTATGTATACATACATAAATATATATTTATAACTTGTGAGAGCTGCGTAAGAGATCGGAAACATGGAAATCCGGCGCCAATCTTGGGCTTGCCGCTTCCTTGTTTGCTATTTCTGTTTATCAGTTTTCTTTTTCTTCTTCCTTTATTTTTTCTTTAAACTCTTAACAATTATAACCCCCTTTTTTTCCCCTTTGTTTTTCATCCCCCATTACAAACAATCTAACTCTATATATATCTCCCAAACCCTGCTTTGTCTACTCCACTCTCTCTCTATATCTATCTATCTCTGCCATTAATTCATAACATACAACATTAACACCTTATCTCTTTCCTTCTCTCTCTCTCTCTCTCTCTCTCTCTCTCTCTCTCTCTAATATATATATACATATAGCCCCTGCATAGATACTTGTATACCCACACACATATAGATACATTCATATACAAGAAGCATGGCCTCTAATGGAGAAAATGTTGTTGTTCCCATGAAGCTTGAGAATCTACTTTCCATGAAAGGAGGCAAAGGAAAGGGCAGCTATGTCAATAACTCTCAAGCCCAGGTTCTATATATACCTTCCGTCTTCTTCTCCCCATATATATATATATATATATGTATGTGTTTATATTTTTACCTATGTATATATATGCCTCATATTTTCTCTCCTATATATATACATATCTGCTTATGCACAAACACGTGTTATTGTCCAACTATGAAACCCATATTCTAGTTTCTTTCTCTCATTTTTTCCTCCCTTCATGTAGACACATACATACACACGTCTATATTTATATACGCCTGTACGCCAGTTGCAGGAACATTGAAAATAACTAAATAAAAAAGATTTCAATTCTTGCAACAAGTTCATGGGTAATTCAATTTTTAAGTAAAATTACAAATTTTATTTATTAAATGATATATACACATTATATATATGTGTATATATATATATATATATATATAATCTATGAGTTCTTAGTTAAAGTATATATACATATGTACATATATGTACAAATTGATATATAGTCGGTCACGAATTGAAACACTAACTTGTCCATGTGCAGGCATTACACGCTCGATCCATGCTTCATCTTCTTGAAGAAACCCTAGATGGAGTCCGGCTGCCAAAATGTAGTGCTGATGATCCGACGCCGTTTACGGTGGTGGACTTGGGATGTTCCTGCGGCAGCAACACCCTTTACATAATCAATGTCATCATCAAACACATCGCGAAGCGCTACGAGTCGATGGGATTCGAGCCGCCGGAATTTTCCGCCGCCTTCTCCGATCTGCCCAGCAATGACTTCAACACACTTTTCCAGCTGCTTCCTCCCATGGCAGCAAACTATGGCGGCAGCATGGAGGAATGTCTGGCCGCCAACGACCACCGCTCTTATTTTGCCTCCGGAGTCCCCGGCTCTTTTTACCGCCGCCTTTTCCCCTCCAAATCAGTTCATGTTTTTCACTCCGCTTTTTCCTTGCACTGGCTCTCTCAGGTTCTTATATTTTCTTTACTCAATGTTTCTGCCATATATATATATATATGTATATATATATATAGGGGGGGGGGGTGTGTGTGTGTGTGTGTGTGTGTATGTATGTATGTACGTGTGTGTGTGTGTATAGATTGATTATATAATATCATAATGTAGTGAATTAAGTGAGTGGGTTATAATGTGTAATCAAATTGGCATTACCCAAAGGAGTGTTCCCAGTTGATTAATAAGTTAATTAATTAACTACTTATGATCTAATTAACTTTGATTATATCCTTATAAAGTTAATGTAGTAATTAACTAACTAAATTAGATACCATTTAGAAAGTTAGTACTCATACATAAATATAGTACTTAAATGAAATGGGTATTAATTAATTACATGCAAACACACACACACATATATATATATATATATGTTATGATCTATATGTATGGTATACTATGATTGGGGCAATTGGTTTACAAGGTTTGATTGTACATCTTAATTATTATTAGTATTCACTATTATAGTGTGGTGTATACATATCCTTTGTGAACTCTTTTGATTTTTTGCCGGCTTTATATATATGGGTGTGTGTGTATATACACATATATAAGGTCAAAAAAGTTGACTAACAAAATGGTCCTTCAAGTTGAAACTTGGGAAAGCAAACTGTATTTTCAACTTGCTTTGCTTTCCTCAAGGTTGAAACTTGAAAGTTGTTTGCTTTTCAAAATTTGGTGGAATTGGATAAAACTGGTCGTCTTTACCCTGACACAAATAATTAGTTTTCTTCTTTACTCTTTCTTGAATCTCATTTTTTACTTTCTTTTTTTTTTTTATTACCCCTCAGTAATTATCAAAATAACATGAATGAATATTCTTTTTTTTTAATTTAAAAATTATATTATCATGTGTTATTTAATTAATTAAATGTATAAATTTTTAATTTAAAACGTATTGAAAAATTTAGGAATTATGACCATCTTTTAATTATGTGCCTATATATACATATATATATTATATATATGTAGATTGAATGTGTGAGGTACATGTAGTCAGTAGCTAGACTTTTCTCCATAGCATTTGGTTTTACTTTGAAAAAAATGTATATAACACTCACACCAAAGAAATTGATTTTTGTGGGACCCAGGTGCCGGAGAGTGTGCTGGACAAGAGATCGACGGCGTACAACAAAGGAAGGGTGTTCATCCACGGTGCGAGTGACTGTACAGCAAATGCATACAAGAAACAGTTCCAAACGGATCTAGCATGGTTCCTTCGATCAAGATCGCAGAGATGAAGAGAGGTGGGTCCATGTTTCTTGTCTGCTTGGGCCGGACGTCTATGGACCCCACCGACCAAGGTGGGGCCGGCGTCCTCTTCGGGACCCACTTTCAAGATGCTTGGGACGATCTTGTCCAAGAGGTATAATACTAATCATGATCATGATCATGA